AACAATGGCAACTAATGCTGACAGTGCGACTGTGCAGCCTTTGAAACGGTTGTCCATTGTACCCTATTACAAAGACTTAAATTTAAGGTTGGGTTGTGTGCAATAGTTTTGAAGTGGTTTAAATTGTATTTGCCTAATTGTTATCAATATGTTCAAATGTCAAATAATTGTACTCCAACGTCTATTTCACCAGTCAAATATGGAGTGCCACAGGGATCAGTGCTTGGTCCATTATTGTTATCTCTCTACATGCTGATATTAGGTAATATAATGAGAAAACATAATGTTCATTATCAGTCCAATGCCGACAACACCCAAACATATATTTGTTACGCCTAACAACACAACACAGCATTTATTGTCACTTTAGCTAAGTGCTTCAACCAAGTCAAGACCTGGATGGCTAAAAACTTTTTATCACTAAACTCTCAGAAAACCGGTTGTTCTGTTGTTTGGAGGCGAGTCTGCCGATAGAAATTTCATAATCTCCGCACTCCACACCAAAGGGCTGAACTTATCCCTCAGCAGCTCAGCCCGTAACCTAGGTGTCATCTTAGATACAAGCCTCTCATTCAAATCTCATGTGGATGCAGTATCGAAGGCATGCTTCTTACAGCAACATCGCCACACTGTGATGATTTCTTACTATTAAATACACAGAAAAACTGATTCATGCCTTTGTATACAGTAGGTTAGACTACTGTAATATTTGGTTACCTGGGAGTGCACACTGCACACTGCACCTTGCAGTGTATTCAAAATGCAGCAGCTCGCATTGTCACCAGGAGCAAGGAGTTTGAACACATAACCCCTGTTCTTTGTTCCCTGCATGGACTTCCTGTTAGGTTCAAAACTGACTTCAAAGTTGTCCTACTTACATATTAGGCACTTAAAGGTCTAGCACCAGCCTAACTGACAGAATTACTTCAAGTTTACAAGCCACATCGTCCACCCAGATCACAGAATGCAGGTTTCCTTGTCGTTTCATATATAAATAAAGTAACAGGGCCCCAGTATTGTGGAATGGTTTACCAGCCTATGTTCGGGATGCCGATTCGGTCTCAGTCTTTAAATCTCGACTGAAGACCCATTAGTTTAGCTTACCTGCAACTTAACACACCGTAACTATGGCTGCTGGTGCTGCTGTTCATGCCATTTTTTATCTACTATGCTTGTCCATTAATGTGTCAATGCATGTTCTAACCATCCATGCTCTCTGCCTTCCCACATGTCTGGATGGTGCCTGGGGTGGGCACCATCTGAGCTGGAGTCTTGGTGTCCCCTACAGGGGTGACATTGTGCATGGGACTTACAAAGTGTAACATCATAGGTGCAGCCTTCAATCTGCCACCATACACAGGTCAGCATGGAGAACAGACTCATTGATGGACTATGGCTTGACCTTAATCACAGCTTGCACCTTGCTTTAGCAGGCAAGTCCACTCTTTACTGTTTACAATAAGGTTACCCTGCCCAGGAGGGTTGGGCAGCCAGTTGACTTTTTGTCCTTACTTGGGAGTTTTTGGTTCCTCTCCTCCATTGTCACCTGCCTTTCTTTATTTAATTAACTTATTTGTCTTCCCTTTTCCCTGTTGTATGTTACTCTCTCTTAATGATGTTGTAATGTATCACAACACACTTATGTAAAGTGCCTTGGGGCGACTCTGTTGTGAAAGGCGCTATATAAAAATAAATTGAATTGAACTGAATTTTAAAACAGCATGCAACAGTAATCACTGAATCACGGCTTTCAAACGAAGTACTGTCCTCTCATAAGTAAGTCCAGTTTTGTAAGAAAAACCAGGCAGAATTAGCCTGGACCGATGAGCGTTGATTTTTATAGGTGTTGATACAGCGTATTTTACAATAGTTTTACAAGAGTCTCAGGCTCTGTCAATCATGATGGAAACAAGCTGTTTGAGATCTACATTATCATGTTAAAGTACATTAACATATTTAGCAGATGCTTTTGTTCAACGAGATGTACAAGACTAGATCACAACAGTGAAACTTTGACACACCAATCAGCCATAACATTAAAACCAATGACAGGTGAAGTGAATAACACTGATTATCTCATTACAATGGCATCTGTCAAGGATACCATTACAGTATATATTATGCAAGGGAACAGTCAGCTGTTGAAGTTGATGTGTCGAAAGCAGGAAAAATGGGCAAGTGTAAGGATCTGAGTAACTTTGACAGGGATAGACAACTGGGTCAAAGCTTCTCCAAAACGGTAGATCTAATGGGGTGTTCCCAGGTCAAGGGAACAAACAACGGGGTCATGGGCACCCAAGGCTCATTGATCACGTGGGAAGAGTAGGTTAGCACATCTAGTCTGATCCCACAAGAGTGCTACTGTAGCACAAATTGCTCAAAAAGCTAATATTGGCTATGACAGAAAGGTATCAAAACAGCAGCTTGCTGTGTAGTCGCAGACCAGTCAGAGTGTCCATGTTCGTCCCTCTCCACTGCCAAAAGTGCCTACAACAGGCATGTGAGTGTTAGAACTGGACCATGGAGTAATGGAAGAAGTTGGCCTGGTCTGATGAGTCACTTTTTTTGTTACATCATGCGGATTGCTGAGTGCCTGTGTGTCATTTACATGGGGAAGAAATAACTTCAGGATGTACTATTGAGAGGCAGTGTGATGCTTTGGGCAATGTTCTGCTGGGAAATATTGGGTCCTGGCATTCATGTGGATGTTACTTTGACATGTACCACCTACTAAAAACTGTTGCAGACCAAGTACACCCCTTCATAGCAACATAATTCCCTGTTGGCAGCGGCCTCTTTCAGCAGGATAATGCCACCTACCATACAGGAAAAATTGTTCATGAATGGTTTGTGGGACATGAAAAGGAGCTCAAGATGTTGGTTTGGCCTCAGAATTCCTCAGACTTCAATTCAATTTGTGGGATGTGCTGGTCAAATAAGTCCGATCCATGGAGGCCCTACCAAATGACATGCCTCTATATATTAGATTTTTTACAATGATCTTCGTGTGTGAGTTTATTTCCTACAGTGCATTTTTCTGTTTTAAGTGACGTTTTCATTTGAGTTAGTGGGAGAGTGATTCTTGTATGTATGTGTGTGTGTGTGTGTGTGTGTGTGTGTGTGTGTGTATATATATATATATATATATATATATATATATATATATATATATATATATATATAATGGAACCCTGTAGTCATTGCTGTGAGTAAAAGCAAGATGAGGAAGCAGAGAATAAAAACCATCTTTACTTAAGTAATCCTCTACGTGATATTTCCATAATATGGAGAACAGAGCTGAAACAGCCTGATGCTTACTGTTTCTTTGTGTTTTATTTGCTGATACAGTAATTGGAAGTGATTTGCGTTGTAAATATTCTTTTTAAAATTCTTGGATATGGAGTTTGTAGAAGTAAAACGATAAAAAAGCTACCTTGTACCCCACTACAGTGGTCCGAGAAAAGCGCCAAATATTCTGGGATGTGCCTCCTATGATTTCAGACCTACAGAAGTCTCTCATTGTGCCTCTTCCCTACTACTGTAAGTAGGAAAATAAGTATACTTGTAGATGTCACAACAAGCACTCAGAGCAAGTAAAAAAACAGTTACTAACTTTCACATTTCCAGTATATCCATCCAGTACTCTTAGAAATTGTATAAGTTGGATTAGATGGGTGGACCAGGTGATGGGGCTGTCCGAGGAAAATAATTCTGTCATTTCTGACAGCACTAAATCTAGTTAAAGGCTCCTTTACATCCTCAGAAGTGTGGCCATGAGTTATTTCTAGCTCTTGCATATATAGCTCTTGCAAATTATGGAGTTTGCTTGATTTCGCATTAATTTCTGCAACCGCAAAATCAAGAAAACCTGGCGGGACTAAATAGAGCCTTCAGATAGTATGTTCTGCCATTCTTTGTTTGGACAGATAATAATGACAATCCTCTAAGATGCCTTACTGTATATGTAGGTCACTGCTTTGTTTTCTCCCAAGTAATAAACCCAGTTTCTTCCGGTCAGACCATTACCATATTTCTTCAGAACACCCATCAAGATTGCATTTGGTGTGAAAGGTCTGTAGTAAACTGCAGCTACATGTCTGCTGCTTGCAGTGCTGGAGACAACCCAGTGCTGAAACTGTCTGGAAGCCTTTTACAAATTGCATTGATCTCTCCCAAGACCTGCTGTGCACCTGCCGCTCATTCTAATGCATCTCCATTACATCGACATGCCAGGGAGGTGGCGCAGTGACAATGACAGACTGTCCCCCACTTTAATATCCCTCCCATTCTGCAGTGGCATACAGCTAACAATAATGATATACCTAGTTAATATTGATCTGATAGCTAATTCAAAATTGAGCCACACCAGTTTAACATGTTTGCTGAAAACAGCTTGTTTAAAATGACATAACCAAAGTATCAGTCATACAGAGATTTTTCAACTATTCATTTATTTAATGCAACTGTCATATTGTATCTTTCACAGATGTCCTACTTGTTTCACGTAGCACATGGCATACCACTGGGGTGAGGAATGTTTAGCTATTTTTCTGAAGTTTCAAGGTAACTGCCCTGAATAGTGTGCCAATTAAATGGTCTGTTGAGGCTTTTTCCCCTTGTGAAAATGCCATTCATTGTGCAGTGCAAACGGGTTTTCCCTGCCTTCTCCTGCAAATCAAATGACTGTCTTCATCTAGTGCCATTCATAATGTCCACATCGCTGTAGAACTCTATACTATATGTTGTTCTGCAGCTCTTGTCCGGCTGCTATGAGGTGATGGAAGCCTATAGTGATTTGCCCTCCTGCCTGCACACTGGCACAACCATCAAACTGGAGCTGGAAGGGGAAGTGTATGAAGAGCATTTGTTTGGTATAGGCACAGGTTACACCAAAATCAATTGTCGTCATCTTGCTGGCACTTGGCGATAAATAAAAGGGCACACAGGAGAGCAGAACCCGACAGCAGATCAGGAGGATCCCCGACAAAAGGCAGACCTACCTCTGCAAACGGTGCCATTGCCCACATAGCCAGGCTTACAGGTGCACGTGTGGCCCTGGATGCTGTTGGTGCAGATGGCGTTCCTGTCACAGGACTGCTGGCTGCTGGCACACTCATCTTGCTCTACAAGGAGAAAAACAAGGTCAATGTCTGAAGCATAAAAACATCAATAAAAAAAATTTGTTATTTGGATATAGGGTTATTATTAAAGTCACATACTGTACTTTTAGTCTAGTGCACTGTAGGTGATGGGGATCAAATTAAACCAAGATCTCATGAAATCACACATCATATTGTCTTGATTGGCAGGATTCATTAGGAACATAGATATACTGTCTGGTGTTATAAAGATCAAAACCATGCAATACCGGACGAAGGATAAACTGCTATCATTACATTAAAAGCTTATTATCTTGTACTGTATATGCTAGTTCTTTTATAACTTCTTTTACCTGTCATTAGAAGTTCACAGAACCCCAAAGTGATCTGCAACCATGCACACAACTTATACACAGAACTTATAGAAACTATGGATGATTTTATTAAACAACTAGAATGTCCTTTGCAAAGAACAAGTACAGTGGTACCTTTTTATTTTCATATTAGAATACAACAAAACACATACATACAGTAATAACCTGTATATGTAACCTTTGAAATCTACATATCAAAATGTTCTAAAGATGCTTATATTTCAGAGATAAACAAAAGCCATTCTACTTATTGATATTTCAAAATAATGTCATGCAGCTTAAATAATTTCTACCAAGGTTTCCATTTCGGCAAATTACAGACCAGCATTATCAATCTAGGTGTCTTCTGTGCTACACTTAAGGTGACATTTTAAACAACCACCCTAGGAATTGTTTTTTAATTTCTATTTAATTTAAGTTGCAGCATCAGAAAATAAAAAGCAGTGCATCTGTATTTTTCAGTTTTCTCAAAAGAATATTTCTATGTATGGATCACTTGCAGTGCCTCTGCACATTACATTGTGGTGTTTTGTCCTCTGTGTAATTTTCAATTTCCATTTTTCTGGTTAAATTCAAAGAGTTGCCCCCTGGCTTGTTTTTTCCCCAGAATTGGCTGCATATATGCCAGTGCTTTGCAGAGAATATATTATATTGCTGGCATATGCATGGTATAATTGGCAACAATGCCTAAGACTGTTATTAAACATTTTCTGGCAAGTCACTCTTTCTTAGGACTTTTTGCACCAACCAATCATGGTTCCCCATATTAATGAAGAGGAACATGTAACAGAATAGGCAGACTGGATAAAGGAGGCAAGGTGATTTCATTATCACCCACCGCCTCCCCCTCCAATGATGTGCTGGAAGAGCATATTAAAGTGCCAAAATAGGAAGGCAAACTGGAAAGCTGATTATTAAGATTTCACCACTTATGCGCAACAATCTGCATGAGCCTCAGCTGCAAACAGGGACCTTACTAACACATGACAGAAGGCTTATATGGACAACCTGGGGAAATCTGCTTAGACATAGATAGCCAGGTATGATTATGAATTAATGTCCATGTTAGGATTTATGTCAGGATTTACTTTTGGCAGATATACACTAGAAAGGCTGCTGTTTGACAGCCCCTTAACCACCCCCCCCCCCCCCATCTAATCCTTACTTCTCCCACACCCCCCAACCCCTACAATTTCTAGAATTACTGGATGGATCAACTGGAAATAAGAAAGCTAAGAAATATGTTGTAACATGAGCCTCTGAACCCACACTTATTTATTGAACATTTCACTTACATGCCAGTTTGCAGAATTTTTCACCAGCAATTACATCGTTACCTGTATTTCTGTGAGTGAATGACGTAATGTCCAGGTGTTAAAATGTCATATAATTCGTATTTGTCTATTTATATTCTATTTATTTGCACTATGACCAACATTTTCTGTGACATAACAGTAAGAACTGCAGTTGACAGATACACAATTTAGTGCAGCATGCCTATGAAATATTAAATTAAGCTCACAAACCCCCTAAAATGTGTAGACAATTTACAATTTACATGCTCTAAATTTTCTACTTTAAACCGTGTTCATGTTTTTGTTATTTGTGATGTTGTCTAAAACAAAATGGACCTGGGCAAATACCATAAGTTTTACAGTAGTAAATTTATTCACTAAATTCTTTGTAATAATACATATCTCCCATTCCATCTCGGTCTTATATTACAATACCTGCTACTTGTTCAAACAAAGTTACAAACAATTCTCGCATTCCATTTTATTTTGTTGAGCTGACAGGTAAGTCCTAATCAGTGGGTGATACAGAAAGTAACTGATTTATGGCCCACCCGGTTCTTAGTACACCACAGTATACCAGACTACACTTCAGCATATTGTTTGCTGGTTTAATTAAAAAACAAAAAATGTATCATTGACCTTTGTTAATGTCTGATATTAACCTATATGATTGATTTATTCTCAAAAATTGGTCTAAAAAGAAATTTTAGCAAAATTAAACTGAATCAAATCAAAATTAAATTTAACTGAATCAAAACTAAATCGGGCACTTATGAAAATTGAAATCAGACTGGTGTTTTCCCACAGCTCAACAGATAGAGCATTATGTTAACAAAACAGAGCTTGGGAATTCAAATCTAATGAAGCACACATAAATACATAAAAGTAACCACATAATTGGTGAGGAAAGATTCTGAAATTCTCTTAGTGAAACCACGGTCATTTCCAGAGCATGTACACAAAATGTGCCATGTGCAACGATCATCCAATCACATGAGTATTTTGCTGCACCAGAACAGACAAAATATGAAAAATTCAAAAGTACAATAATGGCGGATTATGGAGTATGGAGGATTTTTTGTGATATATCTATGGAGGATTTGTTGTGATATATCTTTAATTATATGTGTCAATCTATCTTTAATCATCTGTCAAATTATTGTGCAATAAATACATCAATAATTAAACATGTCAATAAATCTTTCAATTTATTATTGAAAACATTTCAATTTATAATTCACTATTTATTGATATATATACATTCAATGAACAGAGGTGTAAAGAGTACCTGAAAACCATAATTGAGTAAGAGTACAGATACCTTACTGTATAAATTACTCCATTACAAGTTAAAAGTCAAAAATTCCAATAAGACTTGAGTAAAAGTCGTAAAGTATCCAATTTTAAAAGAACTTAAGTATTTTACTCGTACTGAATGTAGGCTCAAAGAACACCAAGAAATGTGGAAA